AAAAAAAAAAAACTTCTTGCTTCTGTTCCTTTCCCAGGGACAAGCTTGTAAATTTCTTACTTATCTATCAAGAGATAATTTGTGTATAAGCAAACTAATAAATATTTATTTTTCCCAATTTTGCACAAATTGTAAGTGCTATTTACCACCTTGCTTTTTTCCCACTAACATTATACCTTAAAGATGCTACATATTAGTTCATAAAAAGCTCTATTTTATGACTACATAGTATTCCTTTCAATTCTCTAAAATACCATAATGTAACAATCACTTATTGGTAAACATTTTGGTTATATTCAACATTTTGTTAGTACAAACCTACAGTAATTAATTGTGCATGTAGGTGATTTCCCATGAAAATATATCTCTAGACTAAATACCCAGATGTAAAAGTGACATTAAGTGACTTTCTTTATAATCTTGCCAGTGCCAAATATTTAAATATTTACTAATCTGATAAATGAAAAAAATGAGTATACTGTAGCTTTCATTAAAATTTAGCTCATCCTAAGTTATTTTGAGTATCTTTTTACATGCTTTTGAGAATGAACTATACTGTCATTGTCAGACTTGGGATTACTTCCAAAAATCAAAGGTCCCCTCAAAGGATAAAGGATCATATCAACACCACACTGAAGATGATTCCCAATGAGAAATCCAGAAATGAGCTGAATAATAGGATGGGCTTGCACACATGTGGCACAATGTTCTTTTGTGTGTGTGTGTGTGAGATACCGGGGATTGAACTCACGACCTTGCACTTGCCAGGCAAGCGCTTATGACATGGCATAATGTTATGGTAGGAGGCAAAAGTCTTTGGCTGGTGTGGTTTTGTGTGCTTTCCAGCGCTGACAACTTGATGAATCTTACTCCACAAGTTAAAAGACCTCAGCTTTATTTCTAATTAAAGGGAATGGGGGACGGGGTTGTATGATACCTACATAGGTAGATGATTTCTAAGTTCCTTTGTCTTATGTTCTGCTGTTTCTCTCCATCTATATAAATGTAATTGGACAAACCCTGAATAAATGCATATAAACAGTAAAGTTTATTACTATTGTAGAAACTTCTAGTTTGGTCTATTTTAAAGGGCAGAGCGTTCTTACACCAAGATGGCTTCAAAAGATGTAAGTAAATAGCTGCAGTTAAGAAGTACATACAAACGTTTTGCCTCAAACTATCAGTTAATATTGGAGGAGTCCATCAGCACTGTTAAATGTAAATTTTTCTATACAGTGATGTCATTTTGGAGAAATGGTTCATACATGATCAGAAAGACATGGCTTAAGGATAAGCAGTTAGAAATTTTGATGTTGATTTTCTGTTGTAAATTAAATTTATTAAATAAATATATTAAAAAGAAAATAGTGATTTTAGTATAATACTTTTAAATGTTTGGAGTTTTGTAGTATTGCACAACTGCAGCATCAATAGTTGTGTTTTTTTATTTTCCTAATATGATACCTGCTGTTTCACTTTTCTGAGTGAGAATAGAGCTAGTAACTGTTTTTGGTTAGTCAACAGTTTGTTGATATTATATCCTGCTGTGCAAAAAAGATCTGTCAGTGTTGGCCTGGAAGTATCATCTTAATCAGGACAGTAAGAATAATAAAAATGTTAAACATTACACTCATCAGTAGTAAAATAACTACCAATTTTAAGGGCCTTCCATATTGTACACACAAGTCCAAGTGTTTTCTGAATCTTCATTTCATCCTTATAAGAAGACAAGTGTTTTAAAAGTCAGTTTTATTCCCAATTTATGTATGAGTTAACTTTAAATTTATAGAAGTAACATTGAAGTATAATAATCAGGAATCTTAATAGAGGTTTAATGACCTTTTAAAAAGAGTTTAATGGGCTTTTTAAAAAATTAAATATGTTTCTATCATTAGTACCTGGTATATAGTAGATAGGTAGTAAATGTGTGTAGAATTTCATCTCCCTCCCTGTAAATTTCTAGGTTTTATTTAACATATATTTTAGGAAGTGCAGCTTAGTAAAAGTCATTGACTTATGTAATTTTGACTTTGATTGAAAGGAACTAAACTATATCCTGTTTTGAATTGAATGATTACTTTTCTCATATCTGCTTTATTAGTAATCCCTGTTCCCATTAGCAAAATAGAAAAGACATGTGCTTCAGAGACTCAAAATTTTACTAATGATTAATACATGCTAAACAGATATTTTGTTTATTTTTCTCCAAAACTTTAGATTAAAACCACTTATCTTCTCATTCTTAGTTTTCTGAGAGCAAGAACTAGTGAATATAAAAGCATACCTCTTGTGATTAACCATTTCCTTTCATTCATTTTCTAAACCCTGCTTTCTCTTCGTCCTTTTCCCTCTTTTTAATCCTTCAATGAGTGCATCTATTATTTGTCTTTTCAAATTTGTCATTTTAGCTTTTCATTTCAGGAGATTGACTTGGCAACTTCCTGTTCCATTCCTCAAATAGCTCTATGATGGATAGGTTATTCAGTTTAATCACGTCTTCTGTGATAAAAAGACAGAACCATTTTCTCTTATTACAGAACAGTTGTCATTGCTTATCTTCTCAGGCTTGTGGGAATCCAGTGGCTGTAGAAACCATTCATCCCTTCATGAAATCTGACTGATAAAAGCAGAGTCATTGGCAGTTGGATTCACGACTTTGGTCCTGCCACTAGATTCACTGGTGTACATTTATCTGTTCAAAAGGAAGAAAATATCACAATTATGATACAGTTAGACCTAAAATATCTCCCCAGATTTGTGTGTGTGTGTCTGAGGTATTGGATCATGGGGTGTTACATGTTTCCTGTGTGATTCCAAAAAATTAGAGTGATTTGCCTATATCTGGTAGAAAACATCACTTTATTGGTTTGGTAGTTACTTGAATGACTGTGGGACTTCAAAGACTACCTGTTTTCAATATGCTTGTGGAATTGTCTTGAAATGGAATTCTCAAAACCACTTAGCCTGCTTGGTAGTCTGAGGCAAAAGGATTACAATGAGTTTAAGGTGAGCCTGGGCTACATAGTGAATCCAGGTCAGTCTGAACTACATAGGAGACCCTGTCTTAAAAAAAAAACAAAATACTAAGCCAGCCTGCCTCTCTCCCTCTCTTTCTGTTTCTCTCCCTTCCTCCCTGCATCCCTCTACTTTCCCCCATTTCTTTCTCTCCTTTTTTGGGGGGTTATCCTGTTTAGAATTTAATATCTCATGTGAGACTAGTGCTGTGATGGACATCTACTGTGTGATACCCATTTAATCCATTGGCATGAAAGTGGGGCTGGGGATTTAGCTCAGTGGCACAGCGCCTGCCTGGCAAGCTCAAGGTTGTGAGTTCGATTTCCGGTACCAGAAAACAAACAAACAAACAAAAACAAAAACAACCATTGGCGTGAACAACAAGGACTTATTTTCTCTCTTTTGTAAGAAATGGCATTCCAACTGTTTTTTGACATGTTTAACTTCAGAGGTTGCCAGTGATCAGATCAGGGTCAAACTGCCTTCAGATATTTTCTTAAGAAGCAGAAAGAAAAATGTGATCCTAACTTGCTAGCCTCCTGATCTATACATCGCATTGGTGAGTTAAAGCTATATGGGTGTGAAATTTGGTATAGAGGCTTAGGCTTCTTGAGCACCTTTTATCTCGTAATAGTTGTGGAATGTGAAGATTTGAATTTTCATGGCAGCACTGATATTTCATGGCTGACAATGGATTTCTTAAGGTCTTGTCATTTCAAATTGCCTTGAGGTCTGGTTATTGCTGCTCTAAATGTGTATATGAACCTGCCTCCCAGTGAACTTAGTGCAATGGCGCTAACTTGTCTTGACACTCTTGCTGACAGTTCTAGTAGCCCTTAACAAGATCTACTTTCTGTAGTCACAGCTCAGGTTTTTAAGGAATCGGCCTAACTTGAAATGAATTTCTATAGACAGAAAATATATTGGCTTTAAAAATTAAGAGGTTTGATTCTGTTTTGAATTTGGATATCAAATGAATCTGAGCACATGACATTTTAATGCCGTTTGTCTTTTCAAATAGATTTACCTTCTAATGCATGTGATGACAGGACTTTGCTCATCAGCTAGAACATATATTTTGGAGGAGTTGTTACCTAAAATATTATCATAAGGCATAAGAAAACACACGATTTAAGTTGCCTTTCATGAACATAATTAAGAATTAATAAGCCAGTACCAGTGGCTAGTCCCCAGAATTTCCACTGTTTTGCCTTTTGTGACCCGTGTTATTAAAAGTCCATTATTTTTACAGACTTTATTAAATTGGATCTTATTAAAGCATTCTATATTTGCATTTGGTCTTTCATAATTCATTATTATTATGACATTTACTTTTTACCATCAGATCTGAAAACATATCATAAGCTACCCTTTTCTCTTGAAAGAAATGCTAATTTCAAACAGTCCTCTAATAGAAGAGAAAAGCTTTATCAGTTTTTTCATTTATTCCAGATCGTGTTAAGAATACTAATGCTAGACTTCAGTATGCTAATATTGCTGAGCTTTTTTTGGTCAAAAGCTTAGAATTATTGTTTTTTATCCCATACTAAGTACAAAACTAGAAGACCTACTACTACTAAAGAAAACACAATTCTAAAGTGAAATTCTTGATTCTAAAGACTTGTGAAAATGTTTCTAAATTCTATTTCGTAGGATGATGCTAATTGATTTATCTTTATACCAGACTATTGTTACTTATCCTATTTAAAAAATTCTTTTCTCTTGAAATTTATTGGGTTGTTTTTCTCATAGTTTAGGAGGTCTACCTTACAATATTTAAGACTGAGAATCCCATGCTGTCAGACAGGATGTATCCTATTTGATAAGCATTTTAAGATTTAATTGAAACCTCAGCATATGACAAGACTTCGTGTATCGCTACAAAAATGTCTAAATTTTACATAAGTAATAGTGAGGTTTTGCTAGGGTACTAGTAAATTTATGAAACTGAAATGAAATTTACTTTGATTTTTGTCTCATTTTAGGTTTCTAACAATGTGTAATCGACACTTTGGCAGTGTTGTTGCACAGACCATTCGGACTCAAAAAACTGATCAGTTTCCACTTTTCCTGATTATTATGGGAAAGCGATCATCTAATGAAGTGTTAAATGTGATACAAGGTAAAGTACATGTCATAGGAGAGTAAAGTCTTATGTATGTGATATGCTTACAACTTTAACTGTCAAAGCTGACAGTCTTTCTATTGATAAATATCTTTGCATGTTAACATATAGAAAATTCCAAAGAAAAATATCTCCAGAAAGTACAGGTATTGTATAAGATGAAATATGCTGCATAAAAAGTAGAGCAAAATACCTTTTTTTTTTTTTTTTGTACTAGGAATCGAATTCAGGACCTCATGCTTGCCAGGCAGGTACCGTGCCACTGAGCTATATCCCCGGCCCGAGAGCAAACTATCTTAATAAAATTGCAAACCCTTGAGACATAAACTATTCCATTTAAAGGTTTAGAATTGCTGAATTCTCTAAACTAAAAATTAGGTCATAATCAGTTGTCAAATAAGACATTTAATTGAAAGAAATGCTTATCTTTAGTCGTCCAGGAAGTCTAGTGATTGTATTGCAAATTGGATTGTTCATAGTGGCACCTGGTTTTCCTTATTTGTGTGCTTCTTTTGTAGGATGCAACTCTGAGGCATGAAGCTATTTGGAACTATAGATTTAACTGCAATGTACATTCTTTTTTTTTTTTTTTTTTGTACTGGGAATCGAACTCAGGACCTTGCACTTGCTAGGCAGGCACTTGTGCTTCTAAGCTGTATCCCCAGCCCTGCAATGTGCATTCTTCAGGGGAAAAAAAAGATTGTTTTTCTGCTACAAATGCCCTCCAAGGATTAGTGTAAAATACTATTTTGTTCGTACAGAGCTTAATTGAAAACAGTATGTCTTTTCCACCATCAGAAGAATGTTTTCAAGCGCTCCCAGCAAAAAGCTTGAGTCTGGAATACTTCATTTCTGCCCCCACTTGAGTCTAGCAGGGAAGGGACATATGTAAATTCCAGTGCCTTTGAAACCCAAACAAAACAAACTTGACATTTTATGTTTTCTCTGTAACCTATAGCATTCAGTTTCATAAACAGTCTAAAAAGACCTAGGGGAACCAGGCAAGGTGGCATGTGTCTATAATCCTGGCGACTCCAGAGCCTGAGGCCACAAGTTTGAGGCCAGCCTGTACAATAAAAAATAAAAAAATAAAAAGGCTGAACATGTAGCTCAGTGACAGAGTGCCTCTGGGTTGGACCCACAGTGCTGGAGGATGGTGGTATCTTCTGATAGATCAGATTTATATGGGATGAATAGATAATATGGATAAAGATAACTTTTTATGCTTGCTTTCCTTGTCAGGGGCAATATTGCAACAGCTAGTGGTTCTCAAAGCAGGAGCCAAGGACTCTAGAGGTCGTCTAGGCATTTTCAGAGGATCTGCAAGGTCAAAATTGTTTTCATTATTGTAATAGACATTTTTTCTTCCTTTTTAAATGTGTTAACATTTGCACTAGTGGCTCAAAAGCAATGGTTTGTAGAACTGTTGTCACATTGCCATGATTCAAGACCATGATACAAGATTATATTAGTAGATATATTCTTCATTGCCATGTACTTGTAGTTAGAAAAGAAAGAGCCATTTAAGAATGTCCTTGATGGAACAGTAAAAATTACTTATTTTAAATTTTAACCCTGTTGGTTTGTGTGACACAGTGGCAATGGATTAAGCATTTCTTCTATAGCATCCTAATGTGCACAGCTTGTCTCAGAGAACAGCACATGGATAGTTGCTTGAGCTGAACCATTTTTTTAGAAATTATTTTTACTTGAAAATATGACTGACAGGCAAACTATACTTTTTAGCCTGAGTGGTTGGAAAACATTCTCTATAAAATGTACAAAATATACCTGTCACTTTCACATAAAAGAGCTGATAGTGTTTGTTGCCAGTGATAAAGCTTGAATTGTCAAGCAAAAATTTATATCCTCCACAGGAAGATTGACAGCTTAAATACTTTTCTGTTTATGTTAGTCACGGTATTAACAAAGATGTGTTTTAATATCATACAATGAACTGTGTCAACATTCAGAAGAAATGCATAACTCAGTAACCACTATTTTCTAGATGCATCAGTGCATAATACTGTAAAAATCATACATTAAAAAAAAAAAACTTGTTCAAAAGGCAATGGATCTAGATATGGTACCACATGCCTATAGTCCTACCGACTCAAGAGGTTAAGGCAACTAGATCTTGAGTTTAAGGCTTCAGTAACGTAGTGAGACCACACCTTTTAAAAAAAAAGTCAATGGATTAACACAACAAAGTACAAAATTTTTATTGATAAAAGTTTCAAATTTACACACATCTTCAAAGATGTGTGTCTGAATGTAGTTTCCAAAAAGAATATATGCAATTATATATTAAAGTATGTCCTGCTTTTCCAACTACACATATGGGTGAGGCCAGCTATTCTTTGTAAATTTCAAGCAATACAACATATTGTGAGTAGTTTAATGTAGAGGTGAATAAGAACGTATTGTTGCTTTCTACTGAACCAGACACTACAGAAATATGTTAACCTGGAATAGGTTTATACTTTATCGTGTCTGGGGTGGTGATGGCACTGGAAATTGAAACCCGTGGTCTTCACAATGAGCTACATCTCCAGCCCTTTATTTTTTAAGTTTCCTAAGCTGGGCTTGAACTTACGATTTTCTTGCCTTGGCCTCCCAGAATGCTGGGAGGTAGCATACACTACCATACCCAGCTATATATTCCTACTTTTAAATGAATTGATAAATATATGTTAAATATTTCAATTTAATTTCTAATATTAGAAATGTCAGCAGCTATGACACACATAAACAAAAGTTATTTCAGGGTTTCAAGTTTTTAAGACTGTTAAAGTTTAAGGTCCTATTTCAGTTGGATATGAGTAAGTTTGTCCTGAACTGCATTCGCTGTAGCTTTCCTCTGTCTTGTATCAGTTAAAGGCTTACGTATAGCATACCTGTCAGCCCATTTTGGCAGTGAGTCTTCCATTTAGAGCTAACCTGTAGATGATGATGAGCAGTGCCTTACACTTGAAAATCAGTGGTCACTTATGTATAACTAAAGGACCACATATAACTATAGTATCTTCCCACTAGTGATTCCAGTATACTCCATAAAGTATTCATTTCCTATACCCTGAATCTCAGTCACTAAGTTTGCAAATGAGATATAGCTTGCCTTGTAAAGTCTACATTAAAGGTACTCCTAAACCACTCTTGCTGTCATATCTATTAACAGAAATTATTAGTGGGATTTTGCGTGCCATGTATTGGACACATCTCTATTCCAAGAACCTGACAGAGGTAGTATTACCTTCATTTTGAAAATACGAAAATTGGGCCAGGGATGTAGCTCAGTGGCACAGCACCTGCCTGGCAAGTGTAAGGTTCTAAATTTGATTCCCAGTACCCCTCCACACCCCACAAAAAAAATTGATTCTTAGCTACAATCTACTCATTCTCTTATTCATTTATTTGATAAATATTTCTTAAGCCCCTGTTGTGTACTACACATTTTCTAGGTACTAGATCATACAGCCTATAAGTGGAATTTGGGTTCGAGCTCTATTTGCTTGATGCCAAAATAATCTTTATTCTCCACCTTATTTGAGAGAGCAGTTTGATAGTTGACACGAACAAATTTTCTTTTCCTGAAGACTGCTAGTGTTCCCTAACCCCATGCTGCCAATGATCATAAAAGGAAAACTGGGGAAAGAACCAGTGAAAGTTCATGCTAGTTAAGCCCTACTCTGGGAAAACACCACCCAGGATGTTTGCTCCTTATTGTCCTATTGATGGTCATTTCACTAATGTGACACAAAGACTCCTCAGGGCCTGCAGAAAATTATCTTTCTGCCTGTAGGTTTGAGAAGAGAATTTCCTCATCTTTATTTACCTTCCTGAATTTCGTTCTTGGAAATAACAATGACTTACATGCATTCAGGGGATAGTGTATGTGTTAAATGTTATGGACTTGGATAAGGAATAAATAATATTAACAAAAACCAGACATTTTAAATAGCCTCTTCACAAAGATCATTTCAAGCAACTGAAAGAGGAAAATATCAATTGAGGAATAAAAGAAATCAAATGTTTTCAGAAATTGAATTACTATTTGTTTCACCAGAGAATTTTTAGTACTAGGAAATAATTTTATGCAAAGGCAGTGTACTGAGGTGGCAAAGAAGACAGGCTTTTTTTTTTTTTTTTTTTGGTTTTTCTCCGGTACCGGGAACCGAACTCACGACCTTGCGCTTGCCAGGCAGGCGCTTTTGCCGCTGAGCTAAATCCCCAGCCCCTAAGACAGGCTTTTGAGTCAGACTTTCTGGTTTCAAATTCTGGCCCCACCACTGAGCCAGCTTGATTTTGACCGGGTGGGGTTATTTAAGTTTGTTAAGGCTCGTTTTCCTTCCCTTAATTAATGGTTGTTCAGATTAAATGAGATAGTATGTAAAGTGCCTAGCCTAATCACTGACATTAAAATGATAAGTAGTTGTTTCTAGTGTTAAGAAGATATTTTCATGATTTGAAAAAAATATGAATTGCATGACTTGGAAATGCTTCTCTTTATACTGCTAAAAATCCTTTTCTTTAAAAGTCTGTTAAAGCTGTTTTGAAATTTCAGCTGCCAATGTATTTCTGCAATTTCAACTGTCAGTGTGTTACTTTAGTCTTTCTTATTGATCATATGAAGCATTTCAGTGAAAACATGAAAGTATTTTAACACGATATTAACATATTAGTTTATAATTTTTAGACTGTAGTTATTGCTTTCTGATTAATCCTGTAAGTTATTACCATTTTAATAACTTAAATATTTTGAGGTTTTGTATGAGAATTTTATGTATAATAAAGTTTGATACTCCCTTTATTGTTAGGCAACACTACAGTGGATGAGTTGATGATGAGACTGATGGCTGCAATGGAGATATTCTCAGCCCAGCAACAGGAAGATATAAAGGACGAGGTAAGGTAAAAGGTTAGGCAGACTTTTAATAGGATTTCAGCGAGGTGATTTGTCAAATAATGATGCATGCTAGTAGCATAATTGATAAGTAAGGCTCACGAAGATACATTTCCAGATTAACCAAAGCCTTTTATGCCACTGAGGTTATGTTTTAGTCTTTTCGTGATCTCAAGACTCAGTAACTTGTCTAAATTTATGGATTGCTTACACTGTAGGTGACTCAGGGTGGTAACAGCAGGTCGGTTTGCAAGAAATGAGTTTGAAGCATGTTCCAGAAGAAACTACAGTCCATGATATCTTGTCAACTCTGGGTTTTATCAGTCAATTTTAGCTCCGGGCTTAGGAAAAAGTGCTATGTGGGAAGGATCGCTCTAAAGACAGACAGATAGACAGACAGACAATCTTGGTGCCTGGTAGTGAGGACCACTACAGAATAGTTTCATTTCCTTTCATTATTGTGATGTCCTGCTAGTACTTCCTGTTGACCTAACCTAATTAGAAACTGGAGGGCAGGAAAACCACTTTGGACCAGAGGTTATATAGAGCATTGATCCTGAGGGACAAATGGATGATAGTCCAGCCCAGATTAATATGATTCTATTTTCAGATGAGAGAACTGATGGTCAGAAGTTTAGTAAATTTGGGGGCTGGGGATTTAGCTCAGTGGCACAGCGCCTGCCTGGCAAGTGCAAGGTCATGAGTTTGATCCCCAGTACCGGAAAAAAGAAAAAAGAAAAAAAAAAAAAGTAGTTTAGTGAATTTAGCTAAAGTTGTATAGCTGCTAAAAGCTACAATAAAAATCTCAGTCATTAGTACTTGATCAATCTAGAAATTTCTCTATTTGAAAAATAGCCTTGGGCCAGGGATCTAGCTCGGCGGCACAGGCGCCTACCTGGCAAGTGCAGGGTCCTGAATTCAATTGCTGGTACCAAAAAAGAAAAAAAAAAAGAAAAGGAAAATAACCTTAAGTAAAATGTGAAATACTACCATTTGTTAATTTAAGCTTACAGATACCTGTGAAATTTCTAGTTTTTAAAAAATTTATTTATTTATTTATTTTGGGGATCAGGAATTGAACTCAGGACCTTGTGCTCACCAGGCAGGCACTTGTGCCTAAATTTCTAACTTTTGTTTGCTTTTAATTTTTAAAAATTTCTGTAAGTCAAACAAGGGAGACTATGATTTCTAAGCAATAATAAAAAAGTTTCCAGGTATGAGTTTTTTCAATATAATACTCTTTAGTTATTGCAAGTGCAAAATACGTAGACAGTTTTTTGGGTTTTTTTTTTGTTTTTTTTTTTTTTTAGTTTTTCTCCGGTACCGGGAACTGAATTCACTACCTTCCGCTTGCCAGGCAGGCGCTTTGCCGCTGAGCTAAATCCCCAGCCCCCTTAGACAGTTTTAATATAACTCTGTACTATTGTACTTTGTTTTACTTACCTCTGTCTTTCACTAGGCTTTCAGTTTAAGAGTAAGGATCCTATCATAATCATGTTGAAAACTCTGTCCCCTAGTACCGTACCTAGAGTAAAATCAGTACTTATTGTTTATGAAGTGATTGAATAATGTTTGGAAGACTTTACATGAAATAAAATAACTTGAAAAAACAGTATTTCATTATAATGATAAAAGATTTGCTGTATCTGTACTAACATGAAAATTTGGAGTTTTATAACTAGTTTAGTTTTCAATGATCATTAATTCTTTTAGTCCTGTAAAGATGTTCACCTTACAGTTTTTCTTAATAGTGTTTCATTTACTTTGAAGGAAAGGTAATCAAGTAGATGGTGGGAAGATGTGGATCTGTTACTCTGTATTTTGTGACATTTTGAAATAACGAAGTACTGTACTTAGTTAGGAATTTGTAATAATAGGTGTGTTGCCTTTCAAGATTACATTTATCCTGGAACAGAGGCGTTGATTGACAATAATTCATCAAACACATTATTCAACCATTTAAATCTTGAGTCTCATTAGTACCAGATTTACAGATTATGTCATGTAATAAATAACATGTGGATAATATTCACATGCATTTTCCCAGTTCATTCTTCCATCTTAATTTGTGTTTCCCATAATTTATTGCTAAAGAAATTGATTTTAATTCCTTTAATACTGAGCACAAAATTTAATATGAGGGTTACAGGAAAAATCCAAGGCTTCATATAATTGAAATTTTGATTGAAAATTAACTATAAGAGATAAGGATTTTTCTGTATTTAAGACAGTTATCATTTAGGTTATAGAGTTCCTAGGTAAAGGTTTTCTAAGTTCACTGTTTTGAAAATCTGCATAGGTCATAATGATTTGATATCTGTTGAATATGTGCTAAGAAACACTGTTCCTTATAATTATGAACTTGCGTTTATTTAAAAAAAATTACAACTAAAACTTCATGTTAAGTTTACAATTAAAATCAAGTTAGTGTGTAGAGGATGGTTTCCTAGCACTGAATGTATTTAAACTTAACTTTGGTTAAGTTATATCCATGATTTAAGTGACTATTCTACTAGTACAACCAGAAATACCTACATACAGTATAAAGCTTTTATTAAATCTAAGATCCTAAAATGTTTTTCTACTCTGAATCATTCTTCAGTGTCCCAAAATGGACTAACCTTTATATCATTGATTGCTCTATCTGTAACCAAGTCATGTACATTGTTTGAGCCTGTATTTCTTACAGAATTGCCAAATTTTCTTCTTAGACATTTTTATGACTAGTTTCATTTTGTAAAATGTTTATTGAGCACCTGCCATGTACATATCACAGGGGCAGGTAGAAAACAAGTATCACTTATAATAGTAGCCATATTTTAGATTCTCTTAATTTTTATTTATTTGTTTAGAATTTATTTTTGCTTAAAGCTTAGTTGCAAGTAATAGATGCTTTCTAACATATAAATGAATTAAATGTTTTTCATTTGCACTTTATTTTTAGCTATACATAATCTAGAAATCTCTGATAATTAAGAGTTTGTAATACTAATTTCCTGATCTACTTGTCATTTTATTTGTTTACTCACTCAACAGTTGTTTAATGAGAACTGTATCCTGGATACCCTTTCAGCCTAAACTTTGATTAACTTTTATCTGAGCAGTTGTAATTGTCACATCCAGGTGTTGGAAATCAGGGCAGATTTCCAGGACAATTATATCACTCTCATGCTTTTGGTAATTTTAACAATACATTAGCAAAACATGGGCAATATACACTAAAGGGGCATTTTATGTACTGCATATTGTTGACTTCAAAGTAGTAAAGGGACATTTTAGGCTTGTTGCAGAGGGTTCTAATTAAAAACAGTACTGCCGCAGCATAGGAATGCTATGCTTTTTAGCTTATAGCAGCTTTTGTGTCGTGAAAGGTGATAGTTGATTTTGTGGTTTGCTACATGGAATACGTTTTTTTAAAACTTTTTCTAAGCTTTGTCTTAATTTTACTGTTTTTAGCAATCTGCGCCTGTTCCTTTGCTCAGTTTAAAATCTCACCATTTTCATGCCCATTCTCTTTGCATAGCTAACAGTGACAAACAGAATAGATTCTGACGTCTATTGCTGTTAAGTGCAGTAAGAAGTCATCACAAGGCATACAGAGAACAAAAACAATCTCTTTGTACAAAACTAAGGCAATAGTTACCAAACAGAACATCCTTTAAAAGGATATTTTATTCTCTATTTGTTTAAAACGCCCCCAGTCACCCCGCCAACACATATCCCGTCCTTAAAGCTAGCCAGAATGCTGCTCACTGAAAAGTAGTGCTGTTAGAATTTTCCATGATATATTTATATACAAACTTATATATGAGGTTTTGAAAGGAGGGTTTTGTTTATTAGCACATATGTGTAATACATGATGTTTACACTCCTTGTAGGAACTTGACACAAGTACATAACCCACATTAATTCCTTTTCTCGTGCCCTTTCCCTTCCCTCCCTCCCAGCTCCATTCATTTCTTGATCCCTTCTGCAGTGAGACCCCACTTCCTATTATATATCTTTTATTTGATTCCTATTTTTACTCGGGGTTTCTCTATATAAGAGAAACAATGGGTTATGTAAACCTGTGTGTACAAGGCACTTGTAAACATCAGAATTCTTCTGAAATAGGAAATGCCATAAAAGATCAAGTACTCAGAAGTAACTTTGAGAAGAAAGGACTGATTATGTTAGCTGTTGATGATTAGGGCAATAACTGGATAGCTGACTACATCAGAGATGCCTATTGGTAGGAAGGTACTTTCTGCTCAGATAGAGAGTTTTTGTTCCAATGATTTTTCCTCATAGTTACGTCCAAATCACAACAGATGATAATTTTGATTTGTATATTTAGTATGTATTTATGGAGCTTTTGCTAGTATAATAGACAATATGTAAAGGTCTAGATACACAGATGTGAATAAGATATACAGGGTCATTGGTACTACAACCCATAAATTCCAGTTATAGTCTATCAGATGGTCAGATGAATGAAGCCCCTGGGTTAAACCTAAGCAGGGTGAGCCAGACATGCTATGTAGGCATTTTGGCACAGTGGGACAAGAACACAAAGAACAGTTCTTGCAGTTCCCAGTATAAGCTACAAGCAATTAAAAAAAGTAAAAATGAAGGTATTAACAACTGTTCTTCAGATTCTTGCCTCATGTCAGAAATAGCACAGGTCTCTAGGGCAGTGTTGATTATTGTGATTCTTGGAATACCTATCTACCAAGGTTCCCAGACAATGAGTCAGTTTTGTTCAAACTTATTTACCTTTAACTGGGGCAGCTGACTTTGGCATATGAGCTTTCATGTCATTTACACTAATGTTAAAGTTGCATTCATTATTCCTTGTTTAAATTAGTTATGTTTTAGTTCCTCAAAGTTAATTATGATGCGAATGTGGTTTTCGGAAGCATAAAAGTAACAAAGAACATACTATAATAAATACAGCTAATAGTATAACATATTTCAAACTAGTTCAACATTAAGGTAGACATAATTTAAGGACTCTAGAGCTA